TATCCTTAGTTCAGTATTAAACTCTGTAGTTACATTTGAGTATTCAGTGTTGTTAGATGCTCGTGACTTATGACACTCCGGTTAGTGCTATGTTGGGTTGTACTTCCGCACTTTATTGATATTATCCGCTACTTAGAATTATTAATTCATGTTTTAGACTGCTTTTATGTTGTTTAACTGTTTAAAAAAGTGAATTGGGTTTAATTGGCTGGCCTTATCTTCACGAGAGGTGCCACCACGATCGGGTTCGGGTATAGGGTCGTGACACGTGAGTACGCCAACTAGTAAGTAACCAAAGTAATTAAAGGCTGAGAAGTAGTGACGACCAATAAAACATTTAAAGTTCATATCATGAAATCTCATTAATATACAACAGGCTTTTAAAATCAAGGTTGAATCAAATCATCTCTTTTTAACCCAGTTCTAGTAAAATTCACTTAAAAATATTTTCCAACAATTTTCAAACAAAAGCTCAATGCAGAGGTGAGCAAAAATGATAAAATCATAAGCAGACCATCAAACAAAACATCACTCATATACAGCCCCTCAGGCATACCTTACCATCACTCATGCCTCTCAGTCACTCAGCACTCGGCACTCGCACTCAGTATATACATGCACTCACTAGAGGTGCAAAAATTCCAAAGGGACTCCTTGAGCCCAAGCGCTATAACAAGCCAACTCGTGGCATAAATCAATCACGTCCTCGGCCTCACTCAATAATGAATCGGTAAAACATGTTGCGGCGTGCAGCCTGATCCCATAAATATTCTTACAAATCAGGTCCATGGCCTCACTCAGTCATAAACCTCTCAAGCCACTCGGGATCTCAGTAAAAACAAGGTACTCTGCCCAAACAATATTTATATGCATCAAAACAGGGTAATAAAGACTGAGTTATTAAATCAGTAAGTCTAACATGACTGAGTATAGATTTTCAATCAAAAACAGCGAGAGGATAGTAAGAAAAAAGCCACTAAGTGTCCAAACATTTCTAGCACAAGGCTTAAATATGGCATTCAACCCAATTTACAGAAATTCTTTGTAAAACACATAAGTATCATATAGTTTCAACCAAATACGCAACTTTACAGTTGCTAAAGGACGGACCAAATCATAATACCCAACCGTGCACGCCCACACGCCTGTCACCTAGCATGTGCGTTACCTCAAAATAGTAAAACGATATGAAATCCGATGTTTCATACCATCAGGACTAGATTTACAATCGTTACTTGCCTCAAACCGATCAGATCTCTACTCCGCGATGCTCTTGCCCCTCGACTCGGCCTCCAATCGCTCTGAATCTATTCATAACCAGAACAATACCACCAATATGCGCTAATGGAATGAATTCCACAAGAACAACTATCAAATTTAGACACAAATCTGAATCCACTCGAACTCAGCCCCGGGCCCACATTTCGGTATTCGACAAAAATAATAAAACTAGAAAGTCCATTCACTCACGAGTCTACCCACACCAAATTAATCAAATCTGACATCAAATGGCCATTCAAATCCCAAAACCATCTCTCCAATTCTCTTCCATTTTTCCACCAATTTTACACCCAATTCAAAATTTAGATGATAAAAATCAAGATACAATCATGGAATCTAACCAAAATCAAGTGAAGAACGCTTACCCCAATCAGCTCTCTGAAATTTCCTTCAAAAATTGCCCAATTCCGTGGTCTCTAACTCAAAATATGAAAAATGGGTTCAAACCCTCGATTTTGAATATAACACTGCCTGCCTAGATTTTACTCTTCATGAACGCAGTAGTGCCATCGCGTTCGCAAAGCACAAACTACATTTGATGAGGAATTCCTCCTTCGCGAACGCGAGGACTCACTCGTGAACGCAAAGCCTACGTTGGTTGACCCTACACGAATGGGGAACCCTCCTCGTGAACGCGTAGGCTCATACACCTGAAGCTCCAATGACCATTGACTCTACGCGAACGCGATGAACCGGGCACGAATGCGTAGCCTTAAAGTCCTACACCTTCGCGAACGCGGGAAGTACTTCGCGAACGCGAAGAACAACTCAGCTTCGCTTCTCAAATGCCTTACACGAATGCGAGAGCCCTCTCGCGAATGCGATGAAGGAAATCTCTGCAACATCACACCAGAAAATCAGCCAACTTCTAAAGCCAATGATCTATCAACCACCAGAAACTCACCCTAGGCCCTCGGGACCTTAACCAAAAATACCAACACATCCCATAATATAATTCAAACTTTGTCGAACCTTCGAATTACTCAAAATACAAAATACCAAATTACCCTCGAATTCAAGCTTAAGAACATCTAAATTTCCAAATTTTACAAATGACGTCGAAATCTATCAAATCACGTCCGAATGACCCCAATTTTTGCTCACACATCACAAATGACACTACGAACCTACTCCAACTTTTGGAATTCCATTCCTACCTCTATATCAAATTGACCAAAATCGCCAAATTTTCAACTTTCGCCAATTTATGCCTAATTCTACCACAGACCTTCAAATCACTTTCCGGACGCGCTCCTAAGTGCAAAAGCACCTAACGGAGCTAACACAATCATCAAAATTCAAATCTAAGGTCGTTTACACATAAGTCACAATCTGGTTAACTTTACCAACATAAGCCTTCACAAAAGAAACTAAGTATCTTAATTTACTCCAAAACTACTCCGGACCCAAACCAACTAACACGATACGATCAAATATAGATGAAGAACACAAAAGGAAGTAGAAATGGGGGAAACGGTGTTATAACTCACGAAACAACCGGTCGGGTCGTTACAGTTATAAAAAATTAAAGAAAGTAAAAGTAGAGTTTAGAGCAATTGAAACCTGGTTAGAATGGAACATACCCAAAAACGTAGACTTGAAGAATGTATTAGGTGTGATGCGATCAAATCGTATTTTTTCCCTAAACTTTATATAGCTGTCATTAGAATGAAATTAGTTTACAAATGGGAAGAAACTTAAAACACTTTTATATACAACAAAGATACAAATAAGGAATTATGATGCCTGGCAAAGTTCTTTCTTAATTTAGTTTAGAAAAATTAGAGATACAAAAACAAAATCTACAATTATAATGCGACAAAAAAAGTAAAAACATTATTTTCTTTTCGAGTGGAGGACATTCTCTTCATATTTATTGTCGTAATATGGTTCTACCACCCTAAACACAACTGTTTAGTAAGCATCTCAATATTTTTTTCTATACAGGTAAGTACATTTTAGAATCAAACTATTTTCACTCATTTTTGTAATATCTTCACACTTTACGCGCCCATTATGTGTGTGTCACTTGATCTTGGTTTCTTGTCAAACTAAAATATGATGAAATCAGTGTCATTTTATCAAAAGAATATGTCACATTTTAATTAAATAACTTACTTATTTCTTCTTAGAATTTTATTAAATAAATTCAAAAGTCAATCTTAAGATGCAAAAATGATGTTATCTATCGACGTGTCGATTAGGTTCGGATCAGATTCTTTCGAAACATATATAGTAAGTGATATAAATCTCATTTTTGATTTAGCGAAACAAATAAACCTCCCATTTAATTTTTGAAATAGCAAAATATCCTTGTTACTTTATTACTGTACTAGTTTCTCAGCACGTGCATTGCACGTGTATGCCGAGTCAAGTAATATACAATTTTATAATAATTTAAAAAAATAATACAAGAATTCAGAATGATTCCCAAATTTTTGTGTGCTAGTCCACGCCATCTTCATGAATTCAGGCGACCGGCCTCGAATCTCCTAAAATTTTGCGTGCACCTAGAACAAGGGATATGCAAATTATCAATGTGTATTTTGGCATGATGACTTGCTTATCGAGCTCAAGAAAATCATCTTAACTTACGAAGATGAACTATGAAAATCTAATTAGATATATATTAATTTTTTTTACTTAATTTGATTTTATTTTAATTTTCAAATTTCAAAATGTCGATTGTTATATCTTTAGCTAGCAAAAGACTTAAAGTTATACGAAGTTTCATTGATTAGTTGTGTGATTTTATACACGTCTTTCTCTTATAAGTTTGTTTCTTGAAGTTTAGACATCTTATTTCACAAGTTATAGGTTGTATAACAAAGTACAACTAAGGAAACATGAATTGTTTTCACTTAGGATTGATTTCTATAAGATCGTGATTTGTTTGTTTTTATCCTTAAATGTGTAAATTTCTTGAAAATTTATTCATTTGTCATGCTTAATATTTGAAAGACGTAAAATTAAACCAAAGATATTATTAAATGCTCAGAAATTTTTGTGAAGTTATTTATCTTATTCTGATTCTATTACAAATACTGGTTCAATTTGATACATTTCTTCGCAAAATAAAATATATTCTGGAAACTCATGATGAAATTTCTTAACACAAAAGATGCATTTAGGATCTTTTTGCTACTTATAATTAACTATGTGGCGATGATTAATTGTATGTAATATATTAAATTCACCTAGAAAAATATTGTACAATTAATCGTAAGAGCTAATGTGGCAGTCTGTTGCACTAAGCTCATGATATGCGTTGGATTCGGAGAAGGGCCGGATCACAAGGGTCTGTTGTACGTAACCTTACCCTACATTTCTACAAGAGGTTGTTTCCACAGCTCGAACTCGTGATCTCCTAATCACAAGACATCAACTTTATTAGTTATGTCAAAGCTCCTCTTCAATAGTAAGATATAATATTGATAAAAATGTAATAAAACGAAAAAATTCAATCCATAAGTTATGGCAATAAATATATCTCCATTTTTGTATTCTGCTGATATATATAAACTTTTAACTTTAAGTATCCAATTTAATTTTTGCTTCTTTGATCTCATTTTTTCAAATGATACATCTTTTATTATTTGAGTCATGCAAATTCACACTTTATAATATCATTCCATATAATATTTTTTCTTCAATATAAATGGAAATATAAATATTTTTTGACAAATAAAGTAATATATAAAAAGTAACATATGCACGCACATGCCTAACTTTATTGTTATGCTTTTATTTTGAGAGTACAATAGATAATGCATGTATTTGAATATGTCTTTATGGTAATTAGCTGTATATGTTTATCTCTACAAGAAAATTTTGAATGCTCAACTTATCAATAAGTAATACAAAATTTTTAAAATCACATAGATACTACTTACTAAAATATTTGGCTAAGTTATAAAAAATTGAAGAAAGTAGAAGTGGAGTTTAGAGCAATCAAAACCTGATTAGAATGGAACATACCCCAAAACGTAGACTTGAAGAAAGTATTAGGTGTGATGCGACCAAATCATATTTTTCCCTATACTTCGTATAATTGTCATTAGAATGAAATTAGTGGTTATGAATAGGAAGAAACTTAAAGCACTTTTATATACAACAAAGATACAAATAAGGAGTTATGAGGCATACATGAAAAATTTGTCTCTCTAACATGACTTTTTCTGTCAGTTTCGAGTGAATGGCGAGGAAAATGAAGAACGGGGGGAGGGGACAACCAGTTCAGGGGAGTAATCCAAGCAAAAGGATTGTTCTGCAATCAGTAGATTCTAAGAAAACTAGGAGTATCAATGTCATACAAGGAATTGTTCCGCTAGGGTTAAGCCAGGTGTCTTCCTCAACGGCACCGGCGATGACTCGGGCGAGGAGCTCCACAGGAAGAGTTGATTCAACTCCAATAGCAATTGTTCATAGGAAAACGTCTTGGGCAGACATGAAGGAAGAAGAAAGTGCTGGGGAAATTGGTACTAACCTAAACCTTAGGTCCTCAGAGAAGGCCAATGCTCAATCATGGAGTAAGGTAGTAGGTCCAATTCCGGCTGGTGAGGGATTGGATCTGACTGGCGATGTGGCAAATAAAGACAATGTCTAAATCACAATAGAAGATATCGAAGATGAAATAGTATACTGGAAAATTGCTGTCATATGCTATGTGTTGGGTTCAAATCCACCATTATCGGTAATTAATGGCTATTTCAGAAGAATTAGGGGATGTATGGGCATTGACAAGGTTGCTCAAGTGAATAGAGGGGTTTTTCTAGTTAGATTTCATTCAGGGGAAAACAAAATTAAAGATGTAGAAGGAGTCCAGATATTTAATAAAAAGCAGTGATTGTAAAACCATGGAACCAGACATTGATGTGAGCAAAGAACAAATAGATAAGATCCCTGTGTGGATTCGTATAAGGGAGTTGGACATTAAATATTGGGGCAAATCAGCATTGACAAAAATTGCTGGAATGGGTGGAAAACCTCTCGAAGCAGATAGGGCAACAACTAACAAGGAGAGACTAGTTTTTGCAAGAGTATTAGTAGAAGTCTCACTTAATCAGAAATATCCAACTTCTGTGTTCTTTGAAAATGAATGGGTAAAATAATAGAACAATATGTCGAGCATGAATGGAAGCCTACATTATGCCCAAAGTGTAAAAACACTGGACAATGAGCTACAGGACTGCAGGAAACTTCAGATAGCGGAGATAGATAAGAAAGGTAAGCAAGTAGAGGAGGTGCAACAAACAGATAAGAAAATATAGAAACTAGTACCACAAGGACAACAGAAGAAGGGAATAAAAGTATGGAATAACATGGAGGAAACAAGAGCAAACAGAGGTGATGAAGGCAGGAAGGGACCTAGAAATGGAGATATCAATAAAACAATGATGATTAGCACTAAGATTATATTTGATGAATTGGGATAGAATCAAGGGAAGGAAGTTGAAAGATCCAACCTAGTGCCCCTGACCCCAAAGAGGACATAGGGGATATAGGACCCAAACTTGAGAGGGATGGGGCAATCCGCCCTACTAATGAATAAGATAGGTTTTTGGAATGTCACGGTTCTAAATAGGTTGGAAAAATAGAGAGAAGTCAATTTGTTTATGCGCAATTGTAGGGTAAGACTATTTGGACTCATGGAGACTAAGAATAAGAGAGCTAAAGAAGATAAACCTACTCTTAATATATGTAATGGATGGTCTTTGACAAAAAACCTAACACAGCATAAGGGAGGTAGGATTTGGGTGGTGTGGAAAACAACTATGCATGAAGTTAGTATAGTAAGAACAACATATCAGCGCATACATTATATAATTAAACACATAGGGACTAGTAAGCAATACTATCTTACAATACTATCTTACAATAGTATATGCTTACAATGATATGGCATTGAGAAGGGGATTGTGGAAAGATCTGGAGGACCTATGTACTCAAATACCTGGTCCACGGGCAGTCATGGGTGATTTCAATAGTGTTCTGAACAGAGAGGAAAGAGTGGGAAGCCATGTTACATTAGCAGAAATGAGAGACTTCAGACAATGTATGGAAGCTTGTTGTTTTCAAGAGCTGAGGTCCACTAGAGCTTTCTACACTTGGAATAATAAGCAAAGTGGAGAAGACAAAGTCATGAGTAGAATTAATAGGGTAATGGTCAATACGGTTTGGATGACTGATCCACCAGCCTTAGAAGTAAATTTTCATGAATGAAGGATTATATGATAATTGTCCTGCAGTGGGACAATGGGATGATGGGGTTACAAACATAAGCAGACCATTCAAATACTTTAATATGTGGATACAACACAAGATTTTCAAAACAAAGTTAAGAGAAGCTGGAAAATGAGGAGTACATGAACAAAGTTGTACTAATTGGTGGGGAAACTTAATAGACTGAAAAGATTTTTAAAGGAGTTAAACATATCTTCTTTTAATAAAATAATATTCAGTATAGAGCAAGCTAAAGAAAAACTGTTGTAATGCCGGAAAAATATCCAAATTGATCCTATGATTAGAACACTCATTGGAGAGGAACAAGAGCTATCAAAGGCCTATAGTAGGCTGAAGATAGCAAATCAATTATTCCTTAGATAGAAAGGAAAGGTACAATGGCCGACTCAAGGTGATCAAAACCCAAGAATGTTTCACAGCTTCATGAAAGCAAGAAGGAATGAAAACAGAATATTCTCTATTAAGGGAAGAAGGCGGTCAAACAATAAACAATATCGATGGAATTGCAAGGGCTTTTGTGGAGTTTTATACAAAATTGTTGGGGACGAAAAAAGATAGCAGGAAACATGTATGCAGCAACATAATTAGAGCAGGACCTATTGTGAATAAAGAACAGAGGATAATGTTTGAAGCTGATTTCACAAGTGTAGAGGTAAAGCAAGCTCCGTGGGGCATTGATGGAGAAAAAGCACAAGGGCCAGATAGATATGGGAACAGTTTCTTCAAAGACTACTGGAACACTGTAGGGAAAAATCTAACGGCGGGAGTATTAGAATTCTTTGTTACAGGGAAGATGTTGAAGGCACTGAATAACAAAGTGACAACAGTCATTCCAAAAACAAAATATGCAGACAAAGTGGGAGATTATCGTCCAATTGCGTGCTGCAACACAGTGTATAAAGTGATATAAAAAATGTTGTGTAACAGACTCGAGCAAATATTGCCTTGTATAATATCGAAGAATCAAAGTGCATTTGTAGCAAGTAGAACTATTGTGCAAAACATACTAATCTGCCAGGATTTAGTGAGGTTATACAATAGGAAGAGTACGACAAAGAGTTGCTTGATAAAAATTGATCTTAGAAAAGCATATTACTATGTGAAATGGGCTTTCGTAGAGGAAATGTTACATGCTTTGAACTTCCCAACAAGGTTCATCAAATGGATAATGGCTTGCATATCAACCCCCCAGTATATAGTTACAATCAATGGTGGAATGTATGAAAAGATTATAGGGAAAAAAGGGGCTTCGACAAGGGGATCGTGTATCACCTTTGCTGTTTCTAATATGCATGGAATATCTAACAAGAATATTCAAGCTGGTTACACAACAAGAGGGGTTTGAATTTCACACAAAATGCTGTGTCATCAAGCTGAATCATCTCTGTTTTGCAAATGTTGTTCTTCTATTTTGCAAAGGAGATTACCATTCAATGATATTAATTCTCAGAGGTTTGAAGACATTTTCACAGGCATCAGGACTCACCACCAATGCAGGGAAATCAAACAATTTCAGTGAACATAAATATGCAACACGTGGAAGAGTTATGTGAGATCACTAGATATCAAAAAGGCAAACTCCCATTCAGGTACCTTGGAGTCCCCATTACATCAAGAAAGATATCAGCTGTAGATTGTGAAATGTTGGTGGACAAACTGACTGCTAAAATTAGAGGATGGGGATCGGCAACCCTATCATATACTGGAAGAGTGCAGTTGATAAATTCAGTTTCAATGCAGGCACTTGTGTATTGGGCATCTATCTTTATGCTACCTAGAGCAGTCTTGAAAAGAATAACTTCTATATATAGGGATTACCTCTGAGATGTGAAGGTGAACACAAACAGGGTACCATTGATAGCCTGGGACTTGATGTGTTAGACCAAAGAAGAAAGGAGGACTAGGAGTTACAGAATGTGTGAGCTGGAATGATGCTGCCATAGGGAAATATGTATGAATATAGCTCAGAAAGAAGATAATCTATGGGTAATGTGGGTTAATCACCTATATATAAAAGAAGAAGATTGGTGGGACTACGAAGTACCTCAGGACAACAGTTGGTATTGGAAGAAGATATGCCATATCAAATACAAAATGGCAAGGGGGTATGTGAATAACCACAAGATCTCTCAAGGTGGAAAATACACAATAAGAAATGGATATAAATGGCTAAGTGGAAGCCAGGTACTAAGGCAACATCAAACTTGGGTGTGGAATAGCTTAAATATACCCAAGCATATGTTGGCTAACCATGCATGGTAAGCTACAAACAAAAGACTGGCTTGCACGAATAGGACTCAGACAGCCTATGTGTGATATGTGGTCAAGCAACAAAGACTATATCTCATTTGTTTTTTGAGTGCCTTTTCTCTAAAGCATATATTATTGAGATACTACGATGGCTGAGGATATGAGTGCAGAACATGGAGCCGGAAGATCTTTGCAAAAGAATCACAAGAAATGTAAAAGGGCGTCTAAGGAAAAACTTTGTCCTTGACATCATGTCTGCACTGATATATGGCATATGGAAGGGAAGGAATGAAGCATTGTGGAAAAACAAAGTCCCAAGGCCACAGAGCTTATACAAGCAAGTGAAGGAAAAATGCATACATCGGATGAGAGACTGTCTGGATCGAAGGAAGAAAGAGGATGATAGGATATGGCTGAGAAATTTTTTATCACTAGAACAACATAGACATGTAAATAAGCAGTAGAGCTTTAATTTTGTAGGAGATGTCTTATAGGTGCTGTTATTTTCTGCTCTTTGGCTATAGCCGATGTATATGTTTTTGTTTGGCGATGAATAAAAATCGTTCTTTCACCAAAAAAAAAATAAAAAAAAAATAAGGTGTTATGATGCCTGACAAAGTTCTTTCTTAACTTTAGATTTGAAAAATTAGAGATACAAAAACAAAATCTACAATTATAATGCGACCAAAAAGTACAAACATAAAATTCGTTTCGAGTGAAGGACATTCTCTTCATATTTATTGCCGTAATTGGGTTCTACCACACTAAACAACTGTGTAGTAAGCATCTCAATATTTTTTTCAATACCGGTAAATACGTTTTAGCATCAAATTAACTATTTTCACCCATTTTTGTAATTTCTCCATATTTTACACACCCATTGTGTGTCACTTAATCTTGATTTCTTGTTAAACTACAATAAAATATGATAAAGTCGGTGTTATTTTATCAAAAGAATATGTCATATTTTAATTAAATAACTTACTTATTTCTTGTTAGAGTTTTGTTTAAAATATTCAAAAGTCAATATTAAGTTTCAAAAATGATGTTATCCGTAGACGTGCCGATTAGTTTCGAAACATATCCTTTCAAAACATATATAGTGAGTGATATAAATCTCATTTTTGATTTAGCGAAACAAAATAAACCTCCCATTTAATTTTAAAAATAGCGAAAATCTTCCTGTTACTTTATTATTTCATTGCAGAAACATATATAATGTCCAACTTTTGTTACTTTCATACGTATTTAAAAATCATAGATCAAATAAAAATGGAATGGAGGGCATTTTAGTCAAAAAAAAATTGATATTTAATGCTCTTAAATCTTTATCAGCAAATGGGGGTTATTTGTGAGATTTGTTAAATTAGGTGGATGTTTGAATAATAATAAGTTGGATGCTTTATTAAATTGACCCATTTTATAGTAAGTTATTTATTCTTTTTTTTTGGTTAAAAGTTATTTATTCTTTATTATACCACATGTATATATAATAAGGTTGTCATTGTTTACTTCCTCAGTCAACTTATTCTTCTTTCTTCCTTGCAAAACAGAGCGATGAAGAAGTCAAGAAGTTTACCCAATGACATGCCAGCAAGGATCAGCGGCACCAATGAAAGTGTGTTAACCATAATTCTTCTCCGTTTGCCTGTGAAGTCTCTAATCATATTCCGTAGGGTAAGCAAACAATGGTCTTCTCTTATCTCCGATCCATACTTTTGTCACTCTCATACCATATATAGTATTAAAAAGAACCCCAATTTTCTTTCCCCTTCTGGTTTCTTCATCTATAACTCCTTTTATAATCAATTCCTTTCTTTTTCTTTATCTAGAAAAAGAAGTAAACCTTCTTTGCCTTCCCTTTCGTTTTTAGGCCAAAATTGTAATATTTTACAGTCATGCAGTGGCCTCTTACTATGTCATTTGAACTGTGGAACCCTCTGTGTTTGTAACCCCACAACAGGGAAATTCAAGTTTCTTCCATCCGCTAAGTTTGACGGTGAATTCTCTTGGATAAGTCCATTTACACTTGCTTTTGATCCTTCTCGATCGCCTAATTATAGAGTTGTTTGTTTCAAGAGGATTAAGAAAGAATCACCTGAACCAACTGGAAGTTACTATTTTTTGATATATATATATTTATCTGAGATGGATATCTGGAAATCTAGCAATTCTTTTAAAGTGAACATGTGCCCAGACATGGCTGCGGGAATCTTCTCAAATGGTGTTGTTCATTGGGCTTGCCATGAACAATACATCCGGTTCGATACGAATGAGGAGAAGGTGATGCTAATGAGATTGCCATTTGTTTATGTGTTTGATAGGGAACATTCATGGGAAATTGGCTCCCTCTGGCAATGGCATGACACTATCTATTCAGTTATGAAAAGTGAGGAGAATTTTAGTTTGCATGAGCTGGATCAAGCTACTTTAAAATGGATTCCGCACAAGTATTACCTTGCTTCCTATAGTCTTGCGAAAGCAGCATATCGTGCAGTTACGAAGGAAGGGACAGAGGCACACAAATATGATCGAACAGAGCGCAAGTTCTCTGTAATTGCTTTGGTCAAGGGAGACAAGGAAAAGGATACTGTAGTACTGATAGCCATTTTTGGCAAAGTCATTTCCTATAATTTTGCACGGAGGAAGATTAAAATCATTCTTGACTTGGAATTGCCGAGTGATATTGTGAGAGATGTATGTTGTAATTGCCTTAGTGCTTATCAGTATGTTCAAACTCTGTCTCCTGTTTGACAGTGTTGTTTTTCTTCAAATAGTTACAGTTTGGGTGTTAGCATGAAATCTGCTACTTCTTCCTTTGTGTACTTGCATTTCTAATAGGTACAACGATCTCATTTCTGTTGAATGATTAAAACTGAATTTTTGCTCCAAATTTTGTAGAAGAATGAAACCATGAAGTACTATTTACTAGTAAAGGGAACCCCTCTTGGCTCTGTTTTCTTAATTTGCTGCTATTACAATTGGTCTGAATAAATGTAAGATAATGTCGAAGTGCCGCAACCATTGTGAAAACTAATTGTGACCCAATCGTTGATACAGTACTTCAGTACTTTTTTTTTGGTCGGAAAGATAGGCAATATTATAACATAACAACTATTTACGTAAGTTTAGAGTCTTGGATGCATATACGGCATCCGTTGTACAAAGATAGAGCTAGATTGTTTGTTTCCCACTACTTGGGAAACAACACTAGTACTGGAAGTAGAAGCTACTAAGGGAGTTGTACTATTACACACACTAGCTAAACCATATTGTCACACCTTTTTTTTACACACCCGACGGTATTACAAGGAGTTTTTTCAATTTAAGTGACATTATTCGAAATAGGATTATTTATTTATCAGAGTCGCCACTTGGAATATTTTAATTGGTGTCCCAAGTCACCAGTTTATTTTTAATCCCAAATCGAGGAAAACTCGACTTTCCTTTTGAAGTCTGCGAACCAGAAATTCTGAATAAGGAATTCTGTTAACCCGAGGGAAGGTATTAGGCACCCCCGGATTCCGTGGTTCTAGCACGGTCGCTTAAACTATTATAATTGGCCTATTATTTGATTTTAATACATGTTTTAACATATGGTATAATTTTAAATTATTAACCGCTTTTAAATTAATTTTAGGAAGATTCAACGTTATTAAAAACACGCCTTGAACCACGCCACATGAAATGCACCCGCGGTCCTCGACACATTTTTATTTAACGTTGTTGAGATTTGAATTTGGGTCACATGAAATGCACACCCGAGTTTAAGGAAATTAATTTAATAGCGCGCCTAAATCAACTACGCACTTTCAAATTTGCGAGGGCCATGAAAAATTCAACTAATGGCACACCTCGATTTCTAAAGGGTTAAAATTGATTAAGTGAGGGCCATGAGTTTTGGGATTTTATTTGCCATGGCACGTCCCAATTTATTTTAAAAGATTTGTACTCAATTAAAGCAATCTACGGATGTTCATGAATTAATTATTTTCCTAAATTTGAAGTCATTGCAAGGAAATAGAAGACAAATAGTCCCACATTGACTACAACTGATCCTAAAATCGTTTCAATTATCCGCCATTGCATAATGCCTAAAATCAAATAAATATTCAGTATTTA